ATATAGGCTACTAGATTATTTCACACATTCTTAAAACCAATAAATACAGTGAATTTCAACTTAAGATTTTCACAATCTTATCTTGACATTTCTCTGAGAATAATTTTGAATATGATCATATATTTAAAATATATTCTGTGTGTGACTGCTTCTCTGTTTTTCTAAATACAGGATCAACAAAATCCCCTCTGAGAGACTCTTCAGGTTTATTTTAAGTCAGATGTTTGATATCTAAATTTTAGGCCCAGCTTTGAGACAATGTTTTTTTTTTTTACAATTAATTCTTCAAAGTATTAATGTGTCCTACAAATCTGATAAATACAGCCCCTGGTCTTTGATTTTAATTTTGACATGAACTTTTAAAACTTTTCCACTGAACTTTACAATGTTTGGATAATCCCTTTATTAAATAGAGTCCATACAGTTGATCAGTTTCATCTAATGCTTCGTGCCGCCCTGCCTCCTGAGGATAGGACATCGTCACCATCCGGTTGTGTTTTTCATGTAAATCATCATCTGTGCAACAAGTGAAACTCTGCTCTGGGATGTGTCTCGCGCTACCATTGCTTTATTTTTAATGATGAACCAAGCTGCACGCAGTTCTGTGTGGGTCCGTGTGCGTGTGTGTGTGCGTGCGCTCGCAGCAAAGGTTCTTTGTGGGTTTGTGACCCCCACTCTATCTGGCCCAGGCTTATAAACTGCACGACAAAACTAAACACATACATTTGTTTGCCTCTGTGTCTCACAATAAGTCCTTCACTGGTTTGTTATATTTTGCGCATTTGCCATGAAAACACACCACAAATCCAGCCAATGATTCACTTCCTCATGAACCTTTGAATCAGGTACCAAAGYAGTGACGTAAGTTCACSACTTTCGAAGCTTCGGACGTCACTGATCACGTGACTTTTACCAAACGAATCAAGCTCCGACACAGTGCTTCTGAAACAGTGTGTTGTTTTTTTCAATACATGCGCCGCAGCTTCAGCTTCAAACTGCCCATCACTACTGTTCCCAGAGTGMTGTATCAAGGCACCTCAGTGGGAAGTCTGTGGGAAGAAAAAAGTGTGGCAGAAAATGCTGCACAACGAKAAGAGTTGTCAGTCAGTGATGGTCTGGRGTGCCATGTCAGCTGCTGGTGTTGGTCCACTGTGTTTTATCAAGGGCAGGGTCAGTGCAGCTATCAGGAGATTTTGGAGCACTTCATGCTTCCATCTGCTGAAAAGCTTTATGGAGATGAAGATTTCATTTTTCAGCACAACCTGGCACCTGCTCACAGTGCCAAAACACTGGTAAATGGTTTACTGACCATGGTATTACTGGGCTCAA